GTACATGATGGACTGATTGATGGTGGTGTAATGTGGTACATGATGGACTGATTGGTGGTGGTGTAATGTGGTACATGATGGACTGATTGATGGTGGTGTAATGTGGTACATGATGGACTGATTGGTGGTGGTGTAATGTGGTACATGATGGACTGATTGATGGTGGTGTAATGTGGTACATGATGCACTGATTGGTGGTGGTGTAATGTGGTACATGATGGACTGATTGGTGGTGGTGTAATGTGGTACATGATGGACTGATTGGTGGTGGTGTAATGTGGTACATGATGCACTGATTGGTGGTGGTGTAATGTGGTACATGATGGACTGATTGATGGTGGTGTAATGTGGTACATGATGGACTGATTGGTGTAAGTACAATGGGGTGGATGGTACAGGAATTTTGTAGTAATATAGAATATGATGAATTGAATCCTACAGTTTTTAATGCAGCAGGAAACTGAATTAATATATGCTATAATATAAGTGTAATACAGTATTTTTGAGAGTATAATTATCTGACTTCCTGAAGAATCAAAATTCTATTTTAGAAATCTTTGTTGGTAACCACTGCTGCATCAAAATTATGCAAAGAATTATTATTAGAATTATCTAAAGAGAGAACAAAGACTCTTGGTTGAAGATTCCTTGTACCTGCTGCATTTTCTTAGAAATTGTTTTGCATTACATGGTAAATCTACACATTTTTCTATTGTAATTACTAAAATAGTAAGCTCTTATTGGATGACAGGGAGCAAAACACAAAAGATTTTACATTATTCTGCACAACTCCAACTATCCACTGACAAACTCTGAGCCATATCCTATCTAGAACTAATTGCTAATTAGTGAAATCATTCATTCATCTCAAATATAGATGCGTTATGGAAGTTGCTTAGGGAATGTTTAATGCGCTACACGATATTCTCTTCTCAGTAGACCAAATAATGCACACTATTCATTATATAATAAAGTATAAATAATTATCTGTAATTAATTTTTACTTTTATAGTTTCAATAACATTTTAAATTGATTTGCTAAATATATCAGAGATGAAAGAAGAAATTGAGCCTAAATACACTACTCTAACCCCTAAAACAAGCATGTGACAAAGTCATTTACGTCAGTGTTGCCACCACTCGCACTCTTCCTATGCTAAAAATCCAACATATTTCTATTCTCATCCACCTTATCAACATGGAAATAGTTAACATGTTGACCAACAAAAGGGTAAGTTAATGTACAATGCTATTCAGTTTGGTAAGGCTTTCAGAATCGAAAGCCACAGTAGCAGACAATATACTATATACTGTATCTCTTTCTAGGTGGGTCCCGTCGCTGGCTTCCCGGGCTAACAAGGTAGGTAGCTCGGGAAACCGTCATGGGAACCCACCAGAAAGAATTCCTTAAGTTACATGCTGAATTTGTCATACTAGTTCATATATATGTTTAATGATTTTATATATGTATTTTTCAATCACCGGAAGAATTTGCATAATGTTGAACTAATCTCTAATAACAAAACTCTAGAATATTATTTTATAATACATGTATTCTATCTCTTTAGTATTCATTATAATTGATATTGACCTTTGCAGCAAAGATAAGATTATCAATACTGTACGGTCTCTTCAATTCCATGTAATGTGAACAGTTGGTATTTTGCTTTGTCGTAAAATACCTGTGAAATCTAGGATGACAAATAATATGCACACAAAAATAGACTTTCTAAAAGACCCATCTATCTACATCTGTAATACAGTCTGCCACTCATGTTGTCAATTAAATTTTCACATTCCAAATTCATTTCCTCATTGTCACATCTGGGGAATTTTTGCATGTAGAACATTGCATAATGAGACGACAGGTGCCTCGTAAAATCTCTCGCTCAACTCAGCATTACATGGTGTTGCCATTCACAAAGATCGATTGATAAAATGTATCGATCCTGAAGGAAGCTAACACATCTGATAAGTAATCCAGTAATACCTCATGTTTGCTGTTCTCATTACGTGGTATGAGAGACTGCATACACCTGATGGGGGTGTTGCAGTTGAATTTTTCTCATTATGAATGCCAAACAAAATATCCTTCCATTTTTTTTGCCATTCTCTTTCTTGACTTTATCATCATTTAAGTAATTTTCTTCCCTCATAGTTGCATTACATACTGGAGTCTCTCTCTCCCTACAGTTCTTTAGGCATACATATCCCGGTAAAAAATTTAATAATTTGAAATGTCATGTTTCTGACTGATGTAGATTAAAATTGTCATTATCATCTGGAACATTAACATGTTCATCTTTGCAGTTTAATTAAAACAAAATTATTGGGAGCCAGAAAATACAACAGTTCAAGTTATTGGAATGCAACTACTGTATAGCACATTAATGCCAAGAGTTAAGGTTCCAGTGATCGTTTGCATTACTAAAAAGACTTTCCAGCATAATGTATGCTGTCAAACAGTTAAGACAAGAGATATAAAGCCAAAATTTAGATACAAAACTCTTTACCATAAAACAGCTTTTAAATATATTATGCATCTGTAACAAAGTAAGTTTCTTGCCGTGCATCAGAATGACTCCTGTAGATCCATCTCCAACCAATTTTGGCAAGCTTCTGCTGATCCTACCACTGAAAGAAGGGTAAATCCAGGTTTTATATCAGGTGGGGCTCAAATTTGTATTTTAAATGTCCCATCTTCCTGTTTAGATAGTACCTATTGTGAAGATCGTCAATAGTCAGAATGCGTACGTTCTTAGCTTTTAGATAGTAGTATACTGATTAGTAAGGAGTTCTTTTAAAATAAATGATGCTAAAAAACAAACTTAAATATTCCTAGGCCTAGTATAGCACACACATGTACTATATTAGGTCTCAGATATCATGTATTAGGCCTGGGGAGGTTAGAATATTTTAGTTTAGTTTGTCAAAGCAACACAAGTAAAAAATAGTTTTCCAGTTTGTCCAACTCAAAAGTTCAGATTTCATTGTACGTTGGCATACAGTACTGTATATGCTATGGTCCTCATCGTTACTGTAAGTACTACCAAAACAGGAGGATGGACTGCGCGCACGCACACACAGACACACACACACACACACATATGCAGAACAATTGTTGTCTCTAATGCAAATAAAAGCAATATGTCTAGTTCTTGTCATAAAAAAAATTGTTTATTATAACAGAATTTAATTTTAAATTTCATGAAACCACCTATATATAATGTAAAGGTATTGGTCACTGTTTACTTAAGCAAGCCTGGATCAATTTAGGTTTTTATGCAAATACCTGTCTAGTGTTATGAAATGGAAAGGTATTTTTCTTCCATTTTTAATATGAATACATAAAAATGGAATCCACACAGTACACATTGAAAAAGAAATGCTGTTTCCGTCCATCCTGGGCCATTATAGTCTCAACTTGATAATGATCTGAAATTAACTTTAATGTCATCAAGTTTCTTATTTCTAATATGTGGTTATAGTGTTTATTAATATATATATATATATATATATATATATATATATATATATATATATATATATATATATATATATATATATATATATATATATATATATTTATGTTAATATATTATAATTATTAAAGTTATATGTACAGTATTATATATTTATATTTATATATATATATATATATATATAGTCTATATATACACACACACACACACACACACACACACACACACACAAGGGAATAGAACAGTGCAAGAAAGATATGCAACTCAGCTATGCACAAGTGGCCAAGGAGAAGGAAAAAATTGAAGAAGCTGTAGAGGAAGCCAAACATTGCAGTAACCAGGATAAAACAAACATTAAGCTGGAAGTGAGAAGGGAATTGGCATCTAACCGAAGTTGGTGCAAAATATAGTTGATCGGAGTAAGTCCCTGATAATTTTTGGTTGCAAAGAAAGGGAGATAACATCTAGGTCAAAAAGAGCTGTAGAACAAGCGAAAGTAGTAGATAAAATTGTTGGCCTCGTGGAAGGTCTTACTACCATAGAGAATGTGTGCGACTACAGGAGAATAGGCACATATGTAAAAGGGAAAGATCGACCTTTGAGGATCACCCTAAACGGTGCCAAACAGATGGAAGAAGTACTAAGGAATGCTAGAAAATTACAAAGTGATGAGGATGGGAACGTGTGGTCGTTAAGACGAGATCTGTCAAAAGAAGACAGAGAGAATCTGAAACTGAACCTCGCCGAGGCAATCATTTAAATGAGAGCAGGAATGAAGAATAAATAAATTCTTTTTTCTACCAGGTGATAGGGGTAGGCAGCCCAGTAAAGTGGTACATAAAGACAAACCATCAAAATCATTAGAAAGAGGGGGGAGGGAAGAGTAAGGAAGGGAGAGGGGGGGGACAAGTTCTTAAAAATTGCATACACCAACAAAGATGGAGTGATATCGAAGATACTGGAGTTAAGTGATGTAATACAGCTGCAGACACCAGACATTGTTGCACTCACGGAGACAAAACTTGAAGATGTTATTTTAAATGAGGTCATATTCCCAAGGGGCTACTCAATTTGGAGACGGGACAGAAAAATTAGGAAAACCGGTGGCGTTGCTTTGCTGGTGAAAGAACACCTAAAGATGAACGAAATAATGATTGCCAATTAACAAGAAGTTGATTGGCAATTAATAACATTAGAGATCTGCCATGAGGATAATAAACTAATGATCATAAATGCATATAGTCCACCACCAAGCAGCACATGGTCAAAGGAGGAGCTAGATAGTAAACGAGAAGGTTTTATAACAATAATGAGAGAGATTATAGCAAGAGCGATAACGATAGATCACGACTGTTGATAGTCGGCGGCTTCAACTTGAAGTCCATTGACTGGGAAGCATATGAAGCTAAAACAGAAGATTTCATCCTGGAAACATTCTTGTATCAACATTTTAAACAAGCTACGACGATGAGGGAGGGGAACGTTCTCCATACTATATTATGGGGTGAGAATAGCTTGAGCTACCTCATCCCTTTGTGTGTATTTTACCAAAATAAACTTATTTCAATTTCAACTTCAATTTCCATGCTAGATTTAATATTTTCCAGGAAGGAGGAAGAGTTATTTCACATTCAATACCTTCCTCCCTTGGGTAAAAGTGACCATGTCTTTTTGAGAATAAAGTATGCAATGCGTTATAATCCGGAAGAAAATAAGGAGGGTTGAAGCAGTTGAGAAACCTGACTTCAGGAGAGGACATAATGAGACCTTAGAAAATTTGTTAGTGAGCACAATTGGACAGACTTGTTGCTAGGCAAGGAAGTAAAAATGAGATGCAAGTCAAGTTTTGTGAAATATATGATAAAGACAAAAAAAAAATATATATACCAAAACAGGGATGCAGAACTAGGAAACAGGATTGGTTCATCAGAAATTGCGAGAGGGCCAGAGAACAAAATACACAAAAATGAAATCAATATAGGAAGAGGTCAAACCCCCCAAACATACCAGCGATACAAAGATGCGAGAAGTAACTACACGGCAGTGAGGAGAGAAGCAGAAAGAAATTTTGAAAAATGGATTGCAGACAAATGTAAAACAGAAACAGGTCTATTCTATAAATTCATAAACAACAAATTGCAGGTAAAGGATAATATTCAGAGGTTGAAAATGGGAAATAGATTCACGGAAAATGAAAAGGAAATGTGTGAAACATTAAACAAAAAGTTCCAAAGTGTGTTTGTACAAAATGAAATCTTCAAGGAACCAGACACAATAAGAATTCCGGAGAACAACATATAGTACATAGTTTAGAGACTAGTCTAGAGACTAAGTGGAAAAGATACTCCAGGAGCTAAGTAAGAACAAAGCAGTTGGTCCAAATAGAGTTTCATCATGTGTTCTGAGAGAATGTGCACCTGATCTCAGCAATCAACTTCAACTGATTTTTCAGGCATCCCTGTTTACAGCAGTTGTAGCTGATGTGTGAAAAGGGTTAACATAGTTCCAATCTACAAAAGTGGCAGCAGAGAAGCGATTATAGACCTGTATCATTGACAAGTGTAATAGTCAAAATATTGGAAAAAATAATTAAAATTAATAGGTAGAACACCTGGAGAAAAACGATATAATATCAGACAGACAGTATGGTATTCGATCTGGAAGATCCTGTGAAATGTACTTACTCAGTTTCTATGATCGAGCCACAGAGATTTTACAGGAAAGAGATGGTTGGGTTGACTGCATCTATCTGGACCTAAAAAAGGCTTTCGACAGGGTTCCACACAAGAGGTTGTTCTGGAAACTGGAACATATTGGAGGAGTGACAGGTAAACTACTAACATGGATGAAAAATTTCCTAACTGACAGAAAAATGAGGGCCATAATCAGAGGCAATGTATCGGATTGGAGAAATGTCACGAGTGGAGTACCACAGGGTTCAGTTCTTGCACCAGTAATGTTCATTGTCTACATAAACGATCTACCAGATGGAATACAGAATTATATGAACATGTTTGCTGATGATGCTAAGATAATAGGGAAGATAAAAAACCTAGATGATTGTCATGCCCTTCAAGAAGACCTGAACAAAATAAGTATATGGAGCACCACTTGGCAAATGGAATTTAATGTGAATAAATGCCATGTTATGGAATGTGGAATTGGAGAACATAGACCCCACACAACCTATAAATTATGTGAGAAATCTTTAAAGAATTCTGACAAAGAAAGGGATCTAGGGGTGGTTCTAGATAGAAAACTGTCACCTGAGGACCACATAAAGAACATTGTGCGAGGAGCCTATGCTACACTTTCTAACTTCAGAATTGCTTTTAAATACATTATGGCGAAATACTAAAGAAATTGTTCACGACTTTTGTTAGACCAAAGCTGGAATATGCAGCGGTTGTATGGTGCCCATATCTTAAGAAGCACATCAACAAACTAGAAAAGGTGCAAAGACATGCCACTAAGTGGCTCCCAGAACTGAAGGACAAGAGCTACGAGGAGAGGTTAGAGGCATTAAATATGCAAAAACTAGAAGATAGAAGAAAAAGAGGCGATATGATCACTACGTACAAAATAGTAACAGGAATCGATAAAATTGATAGGGAAGAATTCCTGAGACCGGGAACTTCAAGAACAAGAGGTCATAGATTTAAACTAACGAAACAAAGCTGCCGAAGAAATATAAGAAAATTCACTTTCGCAAACAGAGTGGTAGACGGTTGGAACAAGTTAGGTGAGAAGGTGGTGGAGGCCAAAACCGTCAGTACTTTCAAAGCGATATATGACAAAGAGTGCTGGGAAGACGGGACACCACGAGCGTAGCTCTCATCCTGTAACTACACTTAGGTAATTACATTTAACCGTTACACTGCTCAGGGGTCCTTGGGACATTTACACCCCTGTGCGCAAGAAAAAAAAAAATTCAAAATTTTTTTTCGTCTTCTAAACATGTTAATTTGTGTCCCCTGAGCACAGAAAAAAAAAAAAAAATCGTAGGTGACATATTTTGGGCGCAATTGACCGAGGAAGTCTGGCAAAAAGTGGGCGTTGACAGAGCGGTCGTCAGACCCGGTCAGCGTCACCCGCGTTGACAGATGGGAGTTGCCACAAAGATATTATTACCTAATTGTTTCAATGTCTCCG